CGAGCTGCCAGGGGTGCTCAGCACAGAGGGTGCTGCTGTGGGGCTCTGGTACCTGGGGTGTGAACCTGCAGGAGAGAGGAAAAGAATCTTTTTTTTTTTTGGTCTCTCTTGCCTGTGCTCAGTGAGGTCTCTGGCTGCAGGAGAGCCCCCTCCTGCTCCCCATGCTGCACGGTCTCACAGTGCTGTGGAGCAGCACGCCTGTGGCCAGAGGTGTTGGAGCTGGACAGAATGTGGTGCTCAGCTCCATGGTGCAATGTACTCCGAAAAAAATGCTGAAAGTGTTGCAAACTCTATGGCACATCTTAAAGTAGTCCTTCGTTAGGGAACTGAGCTGATGGCTCTGTCTGGATGGCTATTGTAAGGATTTTGCTTCTGAGATGACTGATGCAGGTCCCTGGCTCCATAAGCAGTGTCCTCCTGTTCTTTTCTTTTCCCTGCTGATACTGACCTGTAGCAGAAACTCCTTTTGCTCTCCTGTGAGGCCTGCTGGGCTTTCTGTCTGTGCCTGTGTATGCTGTGGGCCAAGAGGGAGTTCCCAGCCATTTAAATCTTATCTCAGGCTCTCTGTGCCCAGCTATGAGCTACCACAAGCCCATGTATCCCCAGGACAAACTAATTTTCATGGTCTCTCCCCACAGAAAATCCCTCCTGGTGTGTGCCAGGAGGCTTTGCTGAGGTGGTGCCCGTGCTGCTGGGTCCTTCACGGTCAGAGTCACCTGCCAAAATTACAATGATATTGTTTAAACTGCATGGAGGCACCTGCAGTTTTCTCATGGGTTTGAACAGGGCTTTGAACAGTTTTTTTTTAATAGGGTTTGAGCTCCTCTTGTGGCAAACATAGAGTCATATAACTGTTTTGGAAAAGACCTTTAAGATCATGGAGTCCAACCATCACCCCAGCACTGCCAGGTCCCCACTGCCCCGTGTCCCTCACCCCACATCTCCATGGCTTGGAAACCCCTCCAGGGGTGGGGACTCCACCTCTGCCCTGGGCAGCCTGGCACAGCCCTGGGCAATGCCTGCAGGAAAGAAATTGTTCCTCATGTCCAACCTAAACCTCCCCTGGCATAACCTGAAGCTGCTTCCTCTTGTCCTAATCCCAGAAGCACATTTTCTCCTCACATAGACTTACAGACAACTGGGAGGAGGGTGTCCCCACTGGTGATGCCTCTGTTTGGGCAGAGGGACCCTGCTGTTTGGGACAAACAGAGCAAACAGAGCCTCCTCCTCTGCTGCTGCTGTGAAGGAGAGGAAGATGTGTCGTGGGGGCAGAGGGGAGCAGGGGAGGCAGAGGGAACCACACCAGCAGTCTGCTCCCAAGTGCTGGCGGGCGCGGTGCCTGCAGAGCAGGGAGTGGTGGCAGAGCCCTGGGCAGGGGCTGCTGCAGGAGGCTGCCCACCAAAACTGGGGCTGCCAAGTCCTAGAGGTGAACTCTGCTGGCTGTTGTGTTTGGGAAGGGATGGGGGACCCACAGCACTTGTAGCCAGTGCCATGTCACTCCTGATGAGGGGTCAGACACTGGTGGGCATGGCAGCAGAAGGGGCCAGTGGGCTCCTGTGCCATGCAGACACGGGCATCACTGCTGCCCAGCTTGGCAGGGGAATGCTGCTGGGTGCCTCAGCCCTCCAAGGAAACTCCTCAAACAGGTTGGGCCCTCCTCCCCCTGCAGAGGGAAGAAACGGGCTCTGGAGAGAAACAGTTTGTGTCCTTTTAAGGCAATCCAAGGGCTGGGACTGGAATGCTCAGGATGGAAGGGAAGGATTTGGCACGGGCTGTGCAGTGGTGGGAAGCCCAGCCTACAGGGCCTTCAGGAAAAAGACTTCCTGGCTGCTGTGATCACACCCCAAACACAGCTCCTGGCACCCCTGGAGCCAGCACAGCCTCTCCAGCCCCTGCTCCCAGCACCCTCTGCAGCTCTGTTTGTCTGTCCCGTGCCGAGACCCTCTGTGAACCCAGGAGCTGGGAGCTGCAGCTGGGCCAGAGCAGGATCAGTGCCCCTCTGCAGCCCTGGCAGTGTGTCAGCACTGCCCTGCACCCTGCCCTGCATATCCTGCCTGCCCTGCCCTGCCCTGTGTGTCCTGCCCACTCTTACAAACAGGCTGAGATCCATTTCCCTTTTTTTATTGCCTTGCTAAATGCTTTTGCACAGGGAAGAGCTTGACTTCCCATATAGAAACACAGAATGGGTTGGAAGGGATCTTAAAGATCCTCTAGTCCAACCCCCCTGCCATGGGCAGAGACACCTCCCTCTGCACCACGTTGCTCAGAGCCCTGTCCAGGAACACTTCCAGGGATGGGGCATCCACAACCTCTCTGGGCAGCCTGTTCAGTGTCTCACCACCCTCACAGTGAAGATATTTCTCCTTATATCTAATATTAATCTACTAAGGCCATTGCCCCTCATCCTATCACTACACTTCATGATAGAGTCCCTCCCCATCTCTAGGCCCACTTTAAGTACTGAAAGCCTATTATAAGTTCTCCCCAGCTGGAGCCTTCTCCTCTCAGCTGCCCCAGCCCAACTCTCTCCTGCTGGGCTCCCAGCAGAGGGGTTCCCCCCTCGGGGCATTGCTGGGGCTCCTCTGGCCCTGCTCCAGCAGGTCCCTGGCTCTGCTGTGCTGAGGACTCCAGAGCTGCCCCAGCACTGCAGGGGGGTCTCACAGAGCTGGCAGAGGGGCAGGATCCCCTCCCTGCCCTGCTGCCCATGCTGCTGGGGGGGAGCTGAGGCTGCCAGGGGCTCCTGGCCAGCTCCTCACCCCCGCACCCCCAGGGCTGCTCCCCAGCCCTGCACCCCCAGCCTGGATTTGTGCTTGGGATTGCCCCAAGCCATGTGCAGGACCTTCCACTTGGCCTTACCCTGGACTGTACTGGAAGGTGCAGAGGTCTCACTGTGCCTGTGAGCAGAGGGTTTGTGGCACTTCATCCTCCCCCATCTCTCCAGCTGACATTTACACAGCCCCCAGTCCTGTTGTGTTTCGCATCCATCTCCTCAGCCCCCTGCCAGGCAGGGCAGTGCCACCAACTGCACTGTTGGGTGGGAGACTGGGGACCCAGAGATGGGGTTTTAGCTGCCCGAGCTGCTGCAGGGAGGGGGCTCAGAGGCTGAGCCCTGGAGTGCCCTGGCACACCCAGGTACCTTCCCTCATAGCCACGCAGCCGATGGGAGGGAGCTGCTGAGATCCTGCGTGTGCTGTGGGTGGCACACAGTGTACTGTGAAAATGGTGTTTGCTTTTGGGGACCTTGTCCTGCTACTTCAGCTGTTCAGGAGCCAGGAAGCACATGGCTGTGCCTGCAGCAGGGAGGGTGACTTCTGCTCCTTGTCCCTGCACGAGAGCAGGATGGAGAATTACAGAAGTGTTGATGGAGAGAGGCCTCTGGAGACCTCCCAAGCTGCAGCTGACCTTTCTTATGTCATTGAGCGTCACCAAAAAGTGTTTTGTTTGTCTTTGTAGTGACCCTGGGTTGCTGTTACATTCTCCTTAACCCCCTCTTGGTCACACTCAGCCAGCCTGCCTCCCTCAGAATCCTGTTGTAGGACTTTGTTGCTTGAATATCTTGAGGTTTTGTTGTTCTGGTCTTCAGAAGTATCAAGGCCCCTCTGGGTTGGAGCTCTGCTACTTGTGTTAGCTGCTCACCAGTATTTTGGGGTTAGCTGCAAATGGGCAGATCAAGAGGCCTCTTAATCATGTTTCATCAGACACATTTCAGGGAAGAGGAGAGAGAAACAGAAGCACTTTATAGCCTGCCAAGGAGCTGTGTGGTAGCTTAGGCTGGTGCTCAGACGTTTGCCCTGCACATGAGCCTGTGACTCTGGGGCTGATGATTTCCCAGACTCCGTGAGGGCACCTACAGTCCTGGAGAAGACTGAGATGCCCTAGTACAGGAGGAACCTGTGAGGAGTTGGCCAGGCAAGGCAAAAGCTAACAATGTTTGGGGGACATGGTACCAGAGCCCACTGTTTGGTGGTGTCAGGGCTCAGCTTCTGCCTCAGGGCAACCACTTACCCCTGGTATAGAGACTATACCACTGCCCTGTGGTGGCAGAAATGAAAGAGTTGTTTGAAGAGGAGAAGCTGGAACTGCCTCCACCCAGGGTGACAGCCCACACCCTCCCCAGCTCCCCAGCTGCTGCTGTCGAGGGGTTACAGCAGGGCTGTGGTCTGACGAGGTGCTGGTGCCATGGGTGCCTCTGTGAGCACGGTCTCCCACCACTGTCCTTCTTCCTCCCTTTTCCTGGCACAGAAGGGAGTGGTGATGTCCCACGGCTCCCAGAACAGGGTGATTTCTGCTGCTCCTGGCTGGCAGGACCAGTGGTCCCTAGGAGGCAGCTGATACTCTTGTGACAGGACAAGGGGTGATGGTTTTACACCGGAAGAGAGAGATTTAGACTAGTTAGAAGGAACAAATTTTTAGACTGAGGGTGGTGAGCCCCTGGCCCAGGCTGCCCAGAGAGGTGGTCACTGCCCCATCCCTGGCACCATCCCAGGGGAGGTTGGCCGGGGCTCGGAGCACCCTGCTCTAGCTGGGGATGTCCCTGCTCCCTGCAGGGGGTTGGATCAGATGAGCTTTGAAGGCCCCTCCCAACCCAAACCATTCCATGATTCTGGGATGCTTCTGGGTGCTCTAATGATGGGCACCCCGAGTTCTGCTGAGCTCTGCTCCTCACCAGCTCTGGGGGTCAGTGCAGGCAGCAGACCCACGGGCAGTGTCCTGTGGGGCTAGCTGGGGATGTCCCTGCTCCCTGCAGGGGGTTGGATCAGATGAGCTTTGAAGGCCCCTCCCAACCCAAACCATTCCATGATTCTGGGATGCTTCTGGGTGCTCTAATGATGGGCACCCCGAGTTCTGCTGAGCTCTGCTCCTCACCAGCTCTGGGGGTCAGTGCAGGCAGCAGACCCACGGGCAGTGTCCTGTGGGGTGGGAGGATGCTGGCTGCTGCTGCTGGCTGCTGCTGCTCCCCTCCCGCCCTGACCCCGTTCCTGCCTGTGCTTTTTCTGCAGGATGCCGAACTGGGGGGGAGGCAAGAAGTGTGGTGTCTGCCAGAAGGCAGTGTACTTCGCCGAGGAGGTGCAGTGTGAGGGCAGCAGCTTCCACAAGTCCTGCTTCTTGTGCAGTGAGTACCAGCCCTTCCCTCGCCCCTCTCGCCCCTTCCTGGCTGCCGCCGGCCGGGCCCGGCCTGCCCTGTCGTGTCCTGCCCTGTCCTGCCCTGTCCTGCCCTGTCCTGTTGTGTCCTGTCCTGCCCTGTCCTGTCCTGTCCTGTCCTGTCCTGTCCTGTTGTGTCCTGTCCTGCCCTGTCGTGTCCTGCCGTGTCGTGTCGTGTCGTGTCGTGTCGTGTCGTGTCCTGTCCTGTCCTGTTGTGTCCTGTCCTGCCCTGTCGTGTCCTGCCGTGTCGTGTCGTGTCGTGTCGTGTCGTGTCGTGTCCTGTCCTGTCCTGTTGTGTCCTGTCCTGCCCTGTCGTGTCCTGCCGTGTCGTGTCGTGTCGTGTCGTGTCGTGTCGTGTCCTGTCCTGTCCTGTTGTGTCCTGTCCTGCCCTGTCGTGTCCTGCCGTGTCGTGTCGTGTCGTGTCGTGTCGTGTCGTGTCCTGTCCTGTCCTGTTGTGTCCTGTCCTGCCCTGTCGTGTCCTGCCGTGTCGTGTCGTGTCGTGTCGTGTCGTGTCGTGTCCTGTCCTGTCCTGTTGTGTCCTGTCCTGCCCTGTCGTGTCCTGCCGTGTCGTGTCGTGTCGTGTCGTGTCGTGTCGTGTCCTGTCCTGTCCTGTTGTGTCCTGTCCTGCCCTGTCGTGTCCTGCCGTGTCGTGTCGTGTCGTGTCGTGTCGTGTCGTGTCCTGTCCTGTCCTGTTGTGTCCTGTCCTGCCCTGTCGTGTCCTGCCGTGTCGTGTCGTGTCGTGTCGTGTCGTGTCGTGTCCTGTCCTGTCCTGTTGTGTCCTGTCCTGCCCTGTCGTGTCCTGCCGTGTCGTGTCGTGTCGTGTCGTGTCGTGTCGTGTCCTGTCCTGTCCTGTTGTGTCCTGTCCTGCCCTGTCGTGTCCTGCCGTGTCGTGTCGTGTCGTGTCGTGTCGTGTCGTGTCCTGTCCTGTCCTGTTGTGTCCTGTCGTGTCCTGTCCTGTCCTGTCTTGTCCTGTCCTGTCCCCTCCTGTCCCATCCTGTCCCCAGCCCAGGGACACGCCTGGGGGGCTCTGCAGGCCCAGCCTGGCTGTGGGGCAGGGTGGCTGGATTTCTGTTTCCCCCAGGCTCAGAGGTCAGTCCTGCTGAGGGAGCACAGGCCATTCTGGGACACTGGAGGCTGTCGGGGCTGTCAGGGCTGACCTGGGCCAGCAGCCACACGCAGGGTCTGTCCCTGCCCCCGGGAGAGGCTGCACGAGTCCTCTGGATAACCTCCAGATGTTCAGGACGGGAGCACTGAGACAGGACTGTCCAAGCAGTGCTGGGAGGAGGTGGCACATCCTGTGCAATGCTCTGAGGGGGTGTTAGCTTTAGTCTTTTAAGTGGCTTTGCCACCCTAAAAAGGTGATTTGGCCTTGGGAACTGGCATGACATCTGCCCCAGTGTCCCAGGAGATGATGGCAAGAAGACGTGGTCCTGTCCTGGCCCTTCTGCTCCTGGAAGGGCTGCAGAGAAGTGCCACGTGCCACCTCCAGCCTGCCTGCAAACCTGCTATGGCAGAGGGAGTCTCTGCTGTGTATTTGGATCCAAGTGTCACAGCCAGGGAAGGGCAGCAGAAGAGGATGTGGTGGTGGGTTAACTCCATGCAGAGATCCCTTACTCTGCTTGCTCTGCAAGACCCTACAAGTACTCCTGTGATCATGCTGCAGGTCCCCCCGACACCCTCCCCTCCCAGCTACAGAGCAGCAGTGCAGGGGCAGTGTCTGAGCAGGTCTGCTGCCCCTGCCCTTGGAGACTGTCACACACCAGAACCAGTGATTCCCATGTGCTGACAGGGGCCTGTTGTGTGCTGGTGGCTCGTCGACCCCTTGCATCTGACACAGCAGCAGAGTAGAGGTGCCTCTTCAGAGCTGCCCTTGCAGCAGGGCCACACTGAGGTTTAAGGTTTTCTCAGCTGTCCCTGTACCCTCTCTCCAGTCCCACCACCCCCCTCATTGGGGAGCACAGACAGGCAGCACAGCTCCACAAGCACATAGCTAGGACTCAGCCCAGGAGACCTGTTCCGCAGGGAAACAGCAGAGTCCTCACGGGGCTGATCCTCTCCTGTGTCCACCTGGCAGAGACACTGGGGGCTTCTCAGCCAGCCCACCTGGGGTGAGACGTGCACAGATGGATGCAGATGTGGGAGGGAAAGGCTGTTGCCACTTCTCTGCTCCCTGCACAGCGTGGAGGGTGGCCAGCCTGGCCAGCAGTTCTTGTGCCTGGGGGTTTCCAGGCTGGAAACCTTGAAAGGACTCAGCAGAGGGTTGTGGAGAGGCTCTCCCGGGGGCTGTGGGGGGGAGGCAGGGGGGGAGGCCGAGTCCTTGCTGTGGCTGCTTGCTGCAACAGGAAATCATGTTTCTCCTGCAGCCTCAGATAAGGAGTGTGGGGAATGCTTCCCTCTTCTTGCTCTTAAGGGCACAAGTCTTGTGAGGGGCAGCTGAGGGAGCTGGGGGTGCTGAGCCTGGAGCAAAGGAGGCTCAGGGGAGCCCTTCTGGCTCTGCACAGCTCCTGACAGGAGCCTGGAGCCAGGGGGGGGTCGGGCTCTGCTCCCAAGGAACA